CCATCTAGCGACTTTGTCACCCGAGTAATTGGCATTGCAAAATGTTCAATGAGTCCAGCAATGTTGAAATGAATAATGGTGATTGAAAGCTGCGAAGTTGAGTACTGGAAAACTGAATACATCCAAGCGCTACGAATGCTGTCATGGGTTAAGATTAATGAAATGGTAAGTTATGTTTCCCCAACAGTGACCCATTCCCAGATTCATCAGCAGCAGTTTCAGTGACCTACGGACTCATCACCTCATGTTGATGATATAACATAGGAACCTAGCCCAGATAAAATTAGGTAAGGCTAGCGGAACTAGCAGGTTATCTCCGATTGTTTTTAGAATGTGTGGATTAGTTAGCACAGCATCTTACCTAGTTGTACACAATGTTTCTAAGCATCAGTATCACGCGCCGTTGAGGAAGCGCATGGAGACAGCTAAATAGCGGCCTATGGAGTGCACTTCGGTGGTTTGGAGGATATTTGAGAAAGGATGCTATTTGAAAGAATGGATATTTGAAAGGACGCTGGTCAAGTAAATTAACCACGTTAATTTCTGGGTTGCGCGAAACACTGCTGAGCAAACGTGATCAGTTTATTTCAGAATTTCCCACGTTCTGATCACACTTTGATCGGCTGCGTTTAAAATACCGCAGAAAAGTATTTATCGGCCGGGTCAATAACATGGATTCCGCACCAGGAACATTTTGTTAGCCCGTACCAAATGCACAAAATGCCCCTTGATTTCTCGAAGGCATTTTGTCGTTAGATTAATGCATTCTTCTTTACATGATTCCGAGCTATAGGAATGGTGACGCTGTCCAACCTAGGTACATCCATACATATTCCAAAGCCGCTTGAATGTGCGAGTTCGTAGCGTTCTGTCCGACCCGATAAATGTTTATTGTAACGTACCTCAAGGTTCGCTAGTTAAACCAGGGCAATTCCTAGTGTAGTATCCTACCGAAAAACACGCTCTTCCAGTATTTAGAAACATTAGATTTCACTTTTGTTTTAACCTACAAAATGTAAACTTGTTTTACTGATGGCACCACCGTTGACACAAATTGTTTTGGTGAGTATCTTGCCGCACCGTTTCACATTCTGGTTGATTCGCTTCCTATTTTTGTAGTATGCACAATAGACGTTGGGTTCAGTCGCCTCCAAGTTCTATACTGTCCCGTATTTGACACTTCTCTTACGTGCCATTGATTTTCGACTAGTATCCCAACAATTGGTGATCCCAGTCCAGAACACGCCGCCCCCCATTTTGAATTTTCATTCTGGTGATCTCGTTCCAGTTCTTGTGTGATCCATTACTTGTGATCATAATTTTTCTCACCTACCACATTCTATCCGCTTTTTGCAATGGATTATCTAGAGGATAAGCTATTTGCATTCGCGGTTAGCGCCGTTGAGCCTGTCAAGGCTAATACAGTTACGTTAGTCCCTCCACCTCTTAGGGAGAATGATCCTTCGTTATGGTTTTGGCACCTAGAATCCATTTCTTACACCGTCGGATTTCTTCTGATTTCACCATGTATAATCAACTAATATATTGCCTTCCTCAAAGTATATCCTCGCATTTGAGAGACATCATGTTTTGCTCCCCACTTGTAACGAAATACGAGACTCTTAAACAGGCTATTATTCAGCGAATCACGTCTTTTGACAAAGTCCGTCTGCAGCAACTATTTGGTGACCTGTAACTAGAAGATAGGATACCCTCAACCTTGTTGCGCGAAACTCAACAGCTCATTGACATGTCCAACATGAACGTAAGGATTTTCTGCGAGCTGTGGAGGCAACGCCTACCTGAAAGCACGCAGGTTATCCTTGCAGTAGCAAGTGACCTGCCATTGACAGCAGTTGCAGATCTGGCAGACTGGGTCATCGAATGGCACCAGCCAGAGACTGAAACCAAAGCATCTAAGCAGCTTTGTGCTGGTGCTACAGCATCATTATACTTGAGATCCTTGGCCTCCGTCAACACAGGCATATCATAGGAGGGCGGTTCGCCCCCGGGCGGCATTGTTAGTACGGTAGAGTCTGATACCATATATGAAGGGCAAAATATCCGGATAAGCTGAGAGTCGAAGATTTTAATGTTACCCTGTACGACCAACAACACATTTGCGCCATGCGTCACAACTGTGCAAACGTTCTTCCCAGCGATCCTCTTACTTACCCCAATGCGGTCACTTTTACCGCATTTATTTCAGTGTCCCAAACGATCAAGCCTGGCGTCGGAGACGAGTGCACACTTTAACCTGAGCTGACTATTTGGCCTTCACGCTCCTATTCTGCCCTCAGTCAGAGCGAAATTTTACCACTCGGGCGGCAAAAGTGGTTGTTACGCCACTGCATCAACAGCATTCGTACACAATCAACCAGCTGATTGTACACAGTAGCTGAAGGGTAAGGGTCGACAAAGGGAGAGGGACTAAGGTCATTTACACCGACTTCACCAAAGCCTCCGACCGCCTGGACAACCGTATTCTGCCCCACAGGATGGGAAACTACGGGGTTGGGGATCCTGCAGAATCAGCAACTGCAGGTTAGACTACGAAATACACTTTCCGATCCAATTTGTCGAATGCGGAGTTCTACAAGGAGCAATTCTGAAGCTGCGTCTGTTCGTGTGTTCGTTAACGAGCACACGCGTCAAATCACCTCGGATTTCTTGCTTGTGCCGACGATGTTAATATATAGTGGGCGATCGTCGACCAAAGAGATTAAAATGCGGATATGCGAGGCCAGAACAGTGTGTGTATTGTCATTACACAATTTGCTCCAGTTTAATTCGTCCAGATGTAAGGTGGTTCACATCCGTTATCAGCCGAAAATCATATGCAAGCTTGAAGATCATGTCCTGCAAGTAGTTACCTAGGAGCGCGTTCTTAGGGCATTGATTCAGCCTGATTTGTATTGCTCAGCACAATCGGAGAAAGCGTCTAACTGGGAAGCAACACACTCGTATCCTGCGGCAAGCATTCGGACAGTCGAACTCATCGGTCTGCCCAAATATGTTTAACACCTACGTGCGGCCTATTAGGGAGTGCGCAATCTAGGCTTAACAGCCTTCGCTCAAGCAAGATCCCACAGCGCTCGAGACTCCACAGCGAAGACCCACCCTACACGTCAAAAGATTGTTCCAGCTCCCACATCAACTTAGGCTGAGAACCCTAAGAATGTACAGTGGTCCGTGTCAGCGCCTGCGCGGCGACCAAATTGTGGCATAGCAAATTCTGAGGAACTCCAATCACGTCTGACGCCACCAAATGCAACTTAGTTACAACTCGAATTTGAGGGGGGGGGGGCGGCACCAGCTCAAATTGGCCACGCAATACAGCGGGCTATAAATTCGCCGAAACATTTACATGCTTCGTGTGTATCAGCCTTGGAACGTCCTCCCAAATTACGTGCTTTCCGCCACCACTTTACCTGAGTTTAAAACACGCCTTGAAGTTACCCTACCCTACCTAGATTAGGAGATATAGCCTACGTATATCGACAGAGAATATAATGCGAGGAACGGTTCCCCAACCAGCGGCTATACCAACTAATGGATCGAACAAGAGAAAAGATGGGGTTAATGCACTTCTCTAATTGCGGCGCGGGTTCGAATCTGGGCGTAGTATACTCAGCCCGCGTGCGACTGGTGGTAGTCAAACGGCAGCAAAGCGCTGTTACGGCGTACAGCCGATACATTGTAGTATATAATTTAGACAGAGACTAAGCGAATGTTTGTGTTACAGAGACTTTACGGATAATCTGCCTGAATCTGCTGTGCCACCCCCAGCCAGTTCAACCCCGCACGAAATGTGAACACCAAGACCAGCCAGTCCGAGGAATCCCGATCCTGATTCTATTGTATGAGAGCATGATGCAATAAATAGGGTGCAGGAAACCACTAACACAACCAAATTGGAGATGCTAATTAATGTTAATAAACACAACTCAATGGTTCAAGTTCATGGTCCGACTTGCCGTTGATTCCTCATAGATTCGCATTTTGATTTGTATTCACGTTCGATCTCTAATCGTAGATCGATCAACTGTTGCGGCACTGCTCTTGGCCTGAACGCTGACTCCGTAAAAGTTTAACCACCGATATTACAGTAAAAGATAGGATACACTTCTGGGATGGTGAATGACAAGTAAATTAGTTTATGACTTACTGGGAAAACGTCTGGTCAACCTAGAGCTACGTAATGCAAGGCGCCACCATTCGCTGACCGAAATTTATCCATACAACTATGCACTCCGACGATTAATCAGTGAGCCATAGAGTCCAATCAAGATCAGCATAAAAGTAGCAAACACAACCAAGCATACGCACGAAGAAAGGAGTCGAGGTGATGCAGAGGTATTCCGAGAAGAATCTTATGAACATCACTATGTATGGCGAAGAGAAGGCATCCGCACAATTTGGACGACGATAATTAACTTCCCAACACTTTCAAATGCACATTGATAGAGTTAACAGGGTTAACAGACAGAAATAGAATATAAGAAGAGTGATCGTGTCGTTGAGTGGATCGTCATATTGTGACATACCACGGAAAAAAGGGACTCTTCCGAAGTGTGAAATGAAGCTCCAGGTGGAGGGAGAATTAGACAAAACGCTTTCAAGAGATAACAAGGAACACAAGCAATTAAGAGTTGATTAATGTGATCATGACCAGTGGACAAGTTGTCTACTCGCTACCCAAACCTATTGGTTGCACATGTTATGGGTGTGGTATATGCGCGTCAATCTGACGTGTGGGCCCCTCAGCACGCTTATTTCACTCACTGGACCATTCTCTCTGCTGCTTGGCTAAATACACAATGCTAGCTTACACGTTGCTGACCCATTGTATGTAACCTCTATAGCTGTGAGGATGTGAACCCGGTTTCGGTTGTACACAATAGAAGTGAAAAGGGAGTAAACGGAGAGCGATAAACAAGTATTAATATTGATATGAATCATGTATATTTCAGTAACATGAACTGGAAGTGCGAAAAGATTCATTGTATAGCTAAGATTGAGTGTTCGAATGGTACTTCAAATAAAGTGTCGTAGACACCTAAAACATCAATGTACATGATAAAATGGGTCCTGGAATAACCAGCCAAATCGAATAATGTGGGTAAGAGTTCCCCGCCACCAAAGCTGATACCGACAAAACTGAGAGCGCACAGCAGTTTGTTCAGATCCATTGCTAAGGTTGATAAGACCAAGGACCAAGACAAGAAATCGATACAACTGTCGGATTCCACACAGTCCTCACGGCACAGTAACATATCGTACTGCAGCGCTGTAGATCCAGAAATGTCGCCGAAGCAGTCTAAAAGCACTTTGTCAATAGCCCGTCGGAATGCAAAGCATAGTCGAAGTGAAGTTGGATACTGAAGGCGCTGACTCAGTTCGACAGTTGTCTGACTGCTGTTTTGAAGATGGATTCGAGCCAGTATGAAATGACGCTTAAGACGATTAAAGCGTTTCGACTGAACATTTTTCATGTTAGTTGGTACGTACCCAGTAACTGTGACATCCACTTTCATCTGAAACAAAGAACAGCGTGTCGGAGAACCAATGAACAAAAATAACAAAACATTCCAGTGCACACATCTGGATGTGTTTGGAACGCCAGGCAATCGACACGGTGCACGCAACAAATAATTGAGGTTAACCTAACTTGTTCAACCGGAACAAGAGCAACAAAGAACAGCCAAATAGAAATTGAAATTGCTTCGGTAACCAAGATAGCTGGTGACTCTGCACCATACTAAGAATCAGATAGCACCTCGTGAAAACCAGGCATTCACGAGAAAGGAAAACAATCCGGATCGATCTGTTCATTCCTAAGATTTGCCATCCCCAAGAGGAAGTTACAGGTAAAACGGTGTTGTAGGGTAATAGCACGTGCACGTAGGCTAAGAGGAACATCAATAGAAGGCCTATCGTATGGATTCAGATAGACTACCGGTGACTGATTGCCTTTTCACTGGGACATCGTTTTTACCCTATCTTCGGGTAAGTTGCCACGGCTTGTCGGGCCAGCGTCACGGATGTACTAGACGGGGCGTTTACTGTGCCTGAAAGGTATCATAATTCATCAGCCCATTCTCAATATCTCAATTTATCCTCGGCCAAAAGCAATATACCCTCACTAATGCTTTCATTCTCGGGACACCTCATGGAGCACAGAAAGCATCTGTGCAGAGTCTTGCATGGAGGGACGAACTGGGAACCCCAAAACCCACGACCATCGGATAAGCTCAGCTCATTTCTGTGTGCTAGAAATGGCTGCAAATTGGCAGTTTCAGTAGGTCACTGTGATTTGTGAAACCGTCGGCTGTTGAAAGTACTGAGTCTCCATCGTTCCACTGATGGAGTGTGAACTTCGTGAAGGCGTTGCATCTGGATGTGGCTTCTTACACCGTAAAACGAGCTCTCTATAGTCCAGTGCCAAAATCCCGCGGTCTTGCGGTAAGGTTTTTGAACCAAAGGCTTTGGTTGAGAACCCTAATCGTTCTCCTGCCTAGGCCTGGGCAACCTGACAGTATTCTGCCCACGCAATACAACGAACCTTTCTCCTAACGAGTTCTTGATGCTTTGGCTGTCGCAGAGGATAATCAATGGCGCTCTATCTGCTGCATCATGCAGGGTGGATAGGGGTATGGATGCTACTGATCACGCCTTCCCGTTTTGCGCTTCTTCATCATTATCGTCCCGCTCCAAATTTACTTTTATCCCCCCATTTTTGGCCCTCCCTCACCTTGCTTCAATAGTCGCTTGACTTCTAGTTTCAAGTCACACACAGTCGCAGGGCATTGACCCAATCCAGTCGACAAGTCCATGTTCAAACAAGCGGACTACGTCAGTTCATCCGTTTCCCTTTGGAGTCCTCGCGTCTCGCTAAGACTGGCATGCCTCAACATGCGCACTTTCCTACAGATTGACCAACAGGGAGCACTTGCCCCCACACCAGAGACCCTATCGATCGATATTTGCTGTTTACCGGAAACCCGCCTGCAAGATTCGAGCTCCGTGCTTATCCTGCGATCCCCCACACGCGACACCGGTGGCACATTCTCATTGCGCCTGTCTGGCGATGATGCAACTTCAAATGCTGGTTCAGCTGGCATCTATATTGTTTTAAGTCCTCAGACTCAAGCTGCCCTGATCGATTGGATCCCAGACAAAGGTCGGATGTGCGCCTTTAGATTAGCTGGTTCATTCCATGCTACGAAGTCGCGCGGGACCGAATGGTGCTTGTTTGTCATTGCGGCCTACGCCCCTACAAACTATAGCACTGATTCGGTGAAAGATGATTTCTATCAGCAACTTCACGAGCTCCTTCGTTACAGGAGGCACGGATACTGTGGTGCTGGCTGGCGATCAAAAGGCTCAAGTCGGAAAATTGTCCTCGGATGAGGTTCGTCTGGGCGACCAACATGGTGTAAGTTCCCGTAATGATAACCATGAGCAATTGCTACAGCTGTGTGAAGATGCTCGTCTCTTTCTCGAGATCACAAATTTTCAGCACAGCACCCACAGAAGCATTACTTGGCACCCACCAACCTCGGGCCAGCCATGGACCCAAATCAATCATATCGCGATCAGTTACCGCTGGAGAGACTGTGTCCAAAACTGTCGCTCGATTTGGAGCACGAGCGTGGACTCTGAACACGCACTTGTTTGCGCCGACCTCCGTTTGCGTTTCGATGAACATTCGCAAAGTTCATGTGAACGGATTGACACCAGCCAGCTGCCGAAGCCAGGTGTTCTGAATGTGTATCAAAATGCGCTGACCTTCGGGATGAGTAAGCGCCTACTGAACACTGTCGAAAATAACTGGTCGAATATTCGTCAAACGTTACTATCAGTTGGCATGTCCTCATGTGGCAAATCAAATTTTCAACCTAAACATTGGGTTTCTAAAAAATCTCTGGAACTTATGGATGCTCGCCGAAATATTCCGGCTGGAAGCGAATAAAATGAGGCTCGCAAAAATCTCAGGGCAAAACTACGTGCTAGCCTGAAAAAAGGCCGCGAAAACTGGTGGTCTCCTCGTGCCACGGAGATGGAAACAGCCACTACCGTTGGTAATCATTGTAAGTTATTCCATCTAATGCGGGAAACAAGCAGCAGGAGACCTGGTGTTAGCGAAACCAAACGTGACGAGATTGGACAGCCGATCCACAGCCTGTCAAAACGCTTGGAGCGTTGGCCGGAAGACTTTGCAAGGCAATTTAATCAACCTGAGTTATCGATTTCTTTTTCAGGCATTGAGCGCCCTTCTCTCTGGGCCGTCTCCTTGGATCCGCCCTCACGCGCAGAAGTCGAATGTGAGATCAATCTGTTGAAATTGCACAAGACCGCAGGGGCAGATTGAAGTCCTCTAGACCACTTCAAAAGTCAGGGGACCTGCTCTAGTAGATCATTTAAACGAATTGTTAGTGAAACTTTGGGAGCAGGATACTGTCCCGACAGACTGGAGCCGCTCCGTCATAGTCTCAATTTTTAAGGGGGCTCCCGTTCGGAATGCGGCAACCATAGAGGGAGCAGTCTGATCACAAATGCCTCTGTCGTTCTCCATAGACTGACTGACGCTCGTGAAGCCCAGATCCACAAACAGCAAGCCAGGTTTCGTCGAAATCGAGGCTGCATCGACCACATCTTCACTTTGCGTCAATTGTTGGAGCACCGCCATGTTTATTGGCGACCCAAAGTTGTCGTGCTTCTTGACATAAAAGGTGTCTTCGATTCAGTGCATCGATGTCCACTTTGGGACTGTCTGTTGAGGAAAGGTCTGCCCGATAAATATGTAAACATTATCAAAGCGCTGAATGTGCATATTTCGGGCAGAGTGAGGGTTTATGACAAACTGTCGCCGACCTACAATATCTCCAGCGGTGTGAGACAAGGTTGCCTGCTGTCACCTTTCCTCTTTAACTCCGCTATTGATGAAGTCATGGAAATAGCTTTCGCTGGACACGACTAGAAGGTGTGGAGCTGCTTCCTGGTGAACGACTTCTTGACTTGAGTATGCGGAGGACATTGCCCTCATATGTGACAGCACCCAAACGCGCATGGCTGCACTGGACCGATTAGCACTGGCTGTCAATTGTTTTGAGATATGTTTTGCTCTATCGAAATGTAAAATTCTTCTCCAAGATTGGCAGGGGGCCCATCCATGCGCTGACCTTCGGTGGTGATTAGCTGGAAGTCGTTCAGGAATTCAAGTACCTGGACAGCTATATAAGCACTCGTAAGATCGAAGCTGAGATTACGAACCGTACAGAAGCAGCTCGAGGTGCTTTTGCCAATCTCCGCCAACTGTGGCACAGACGAGACATCACTCCCGGAAGGGCAGAGTGTACAATGCAGCTGTCCGTTCAACCCTCTTATACGGTTGTGAAACCTCGTTCACCAGGTCGACAGACGTAAAGAGGCTGGTCACATTCAATCATTGCTGGCTTCGCAGCTTAGTTCATGTCTGGTGGGAGCACCGCATGAGTAATGAGCGTGTACGGCCTCGCGTATTTGGTGCAGGAAGAGTGAGTGAACCGCTCAGCACCAGGTTCCGACTGATGGGCCACGCGTTGCGCATGCCAGCACACCGACTTCCGCGACGGGCATTGTTTGCGCGCTGGGGGTACGATTGAATGAGGAGGAGGAGAGGTCAAGCGATGACTAGGTCGAGAGAAATGAAGACCCTCACTTCGAAGTTGGCGTCGGTTGGTGCATCCCGACTGCCTGGCTGGGGTTTTAAGGACGACGAACACGCATGGTTGGACACACCTGCTGATATGGCTAGGAGTCGGCCACAGTGGCGTTTGTGATGTGAGTTTCTTTGTCCATCCCCTTCGGCTTAGCATGCGCCTCCAACGATCTCACTCGTTAGGCATAACATTTTGCGGCACGATAGCCGGCCGTTAACTCTCCGGAACGATGTCCATCCGTTATTGGGGGCTCAGCCGGCGTGCCACTGTTTTTTCTTCTTGTCTTTTGGATTGCGGCACAATAGCTGAGGTGTTTTCTACCTGCAGCTAACGTGCATAATAAATGAATGAATGTATCTGGATGTTGCATTAGGTGAGCAAATTCACAGGGAGGATCAGGTACACGCAAATGGTAAACGGCTTAGGGTAGCAGCTGTGCGATCGCTGGTGTCAGTAAGGTAGGTAGTGTTGTAATTGTGTATGCTTAATGTCCGAGCCTATCCCTGCATTCTTGATGAAGACATCAGTTGCATACCTTCGGTCTCTCCTAAAGACATCAGCAGTACCGACGCTTCGCCGCCACGCAAACACCACCGGTCGAGCGTGGGCTAAGGATACTGCAAGAGTAGCAGGCACGAACCCGCGCGCTTGGATAGCAAGGCAGGATTTTGATTCTTAAGGCTACGGGCCGGTCTCACCCAATGATATTAGTTGTTGGTGGTTTGTGTGAAGTTCAAAAGCTCCCACAGAAATAGTGATGGAACCTTTCACACCGAAAATTACGGATAAGACGTCCTTGTCTTGCTGTGAATAGTTTGTTTCCGCTGGTTGCAAAATGTTTGATATAGACAGTATCGGGTGCAATACTTGTTCATTCATGCGGTGGTACCGGACAACATCCACACCCAGAGGGGACGCGTCATGTTGGGGACAGCTAGGATCATAAAAGTAACTAACACTGATGAGGGGGCTAGGGCTTGTATGGTTTTGGTTAAAGTACTGCTTCGCCGAGGATGCCAACACCACTGTACGGTTTTATGGAGTAACGCATGCAGAGAAGATAACATAGTGGATGCATCAGGTAATGTGACAGTATCCCTAACAACGAACGCAGCTCATCAATGGCTCTCGGTTCAGGGCTTTGTAAAATGGGTTTTAACCTGTCATCTAGAACGCAAACCGACCTTATCAGGCCCGCATCCAAATTTCACACGGATGAAGAATAAGACTCACATTTAGACCTTCGTAATTTAAGTCCGTTTTGAAGTAATCTTTTATGTATAACAGAGTGTTTGTAGGTGTTCCGCGTCGGTGCATCATGATATGAGGATGTCAGTTAAACATGGCCAAGTGAGAGGTATATGATTTACCAAATCAGCAATAATTATTTGAAAGATTCGGGGGCAGAGTTGATGCCAAAAGATAAACGAGCGTATTGATAAAGTTATGAGCGTGTAATAAATATAGTATTTTCTCGAGAAGGCCGAGTTCATGTTTGGTGAAGTGTTCACCCCCTGCAAGTGTAGCATACAAGCCTTCAATGCGGGGTAATGGATATCTGACTCATGGAAGACTGGTAGACAGTTATCTTGTAGTCGACGCGAATTCGCTCGGTCAATCGGTTTGGCCACCGGTACGATTGGCGTACTCCAGTTGGAAAATTGCACGAGCACTATAATTCCCATAGTTTGTCAGCGGTTTAAGTATTCTTCAACTTTGGACTTTACAACATATGGCAGTGTTCGTGCTTTGGTGAAGTTGGACTGGGCACTTTCCTATGATTTTAATGTAGTTTGAAAGTCTTTCAGCTTCCCCAGCTCCTCCAGAAAAGCCTGCGTGTTATTTCAAAATTGATTTCAGCCTAACGACTTCAGCAACTGTTTTAAGGACATTTAACGTATCAGGCAATGCGTCGATCCAGTCCCTCCCGAGTAGATCTGTTTAATCTTCCGATATGACATATACAGGAAGGTTGTGTCACAGCGCCATATTGTGTATGGACAAGGCATTTACTTAGGAGACGAATCGGCTCAACTGCATACGTCCGGAAGTTGGAAGTGCATGATGTAATCGAGGTAAGTGCTTCCCAGCGTCCGCCCTAATTATTGCCACGGAAGCTCGCATATCTATCTTCATCAATACCTTTTGTCTTTGGATGCATAGCTCCAGTGTATGGCACTGAGCGTAGATTGGACACAGTATTCAGCCATACCGAAGTTAGCAGGTTCGTCCATTTCACAACAATCCACCGCTTTTGTTGTTTTGCTCGTGATTTATGCAGTACCGAAGGTAACTTGACTGACCTGCATACTCGTGACAAATGATTCACCTTACCACAAGTTCGGCCCTCTTTTCTGGTGTCGACATTCAGATGCGCATTCGTATTGATCTTCACATCGGTGGTATACAAACGGTTTTTCCTTCATAGAGGTCCTCGTTAGCTATGCCGTCCATTTTCCCCAACTGTACACTTCCGGATGATTGTACAGTGAATGAGGACAGTTGTTGTCTCGGATTCTCTCTTCGACGGGCAATTGAATAAGCCAATGCCCATTTAAGTGCAGTCAACCTGTGAAAAGAGTTTTCCTGGGTATGCTGAGCTGATATGCATGGTGTGTATGGGCGATGAATGCATGTACATCTCCCTGGTTATGGCAGAGTTTAGAGAAATATCTGGTTGCAAACGCGTTTTGTTGAACATGCCAAAGAGCACTGAACGTATCCAAGGTACTGACTGTGGTTGCACAGAAGTTATCAATCCGGAGGGCGTCAAAATATCGCTGCCCTACGTCATCAAGGAATTATCGGAATAGCTTGATCATGTGTTGCTCTAGCGGACTCAAGATTGGAAGTACTTACAGATAGTCAGGTGTCACGTATGCAGTTCAGTATTTATTGTGAACACAGGCGCCCACATGATTGGTTTTTCTTTCCGGTATTTCTAGCCACTGTAACGTAGGAAGCGTATATTCAAATATTCCATACTACGCCTGCGCATTCTATTCAGTCTATCGGCTAAGTGCCATACTTAACAGTATGGCGATGAGGTTAAATTAGCGTGATGTTGCACCTTCCTACACTACTTTGGAATATTGCTTCTGAGAAGCCAACATCGGCTACCTGGAACCGCCGGAAGTGCATTTTTTGGATTAGTTGGAGCTACTACTCGTCTTGAAACCAAATACAGAGGGCCACAAAATGCAATTACTGCGGAAATTTCTGGGGGATGGAAATCAACGACATTTCGATGCTCTCTATGTCGGAGAGAAGGCGACAGTCTGCAGCGCGCTAGACGTCCTCAGTAGGTTATGGGGTTCACGACTGAACACATACACTGCGCGCTATACTTTCTTGACCTTGCATCAAATCCCTGAAGGAAGTGTCATTGATTTTATTGCGAAGACTCAGCAAGCCCTACCAGATTGTCCGTATAGTGAAATCCAAGCCACGAAGAGGCGATGGCTTTAGGGTGCTTGATTTCCGGTACCCGTAAGGAATAGGTTAATGAAAGGCTGTAGTCAGAAAATGACGGGGAATCTGTCTCATATAACAAGGAACCGCAAATGGATGCGAAACAACCGCAATTAAGATGTCCAAAACGCACGCCTAAGCCAGTTGCTCGGTATCAACTAGGTGTCTGCAGTCCATACCAGAGAATAGAGGGGTGTTACGTATGCAGTTGGGTATTGACCGTGGACACAGGCGCTCATATGACTGGTTGGCAATGAGCTTGCCTTAAATTCCTTATTTCATAAACTTTGCGTTTCGGCATTTCTAGCCATTGTAACGTAGGAAAAGTTCATTAAACGGTTCCATAATACGTCTGCGCGTTCTGTTCCGTTTATCGACTACGGATGATACTTAACATTAGGTAAGATTGTTACCATTTATTCCAACTGGCCATAGATGGCATTTCCACAGAACATGAAAAGAACTTTGTGGGTGCATTCACAATGGACGTGGTAATCTCCGTCGCCAAATGGTACGTCTTAGTCACGGTAAGTAAACGTTCGAGAGCGTATGATCTATAGGGCCCCGAACCTTAGGGTAACGAAAACAGGTTTGAGCAGAGCAAGGTGTAAACAACAACTGAGAGGACACCTCGACATTCATGCAATGGATACAAGATGAGATTGGTATGTGTGTGCGTGTGCTTGCATATATGTGGTGTTTATTTACCTGAGTGGATTAGTATCTGACCTTTAATGCGCATGCGATACTTGGCTAGAAGGATGTAATGGTTAGCCGGTCGAATGTCTTAGAGAAGCCGTGTCAGACAACATCACCTACTATGCCAACATCCACAGTCTCGGTCTAATGGTCCCGCGCTAACAGTAGGCTGGAATTGCATGATCGGTTTCGGCGGAGGCATGTTGTCATTGCGCGATGTAACCAAGTTCGTCAAGTTAAGAGATGAAAGCGTCAGCAATGATAGCTTCCATGGCTTTCGAAGGAACTGGAAGTAGAGTCAATGGACAGTAGTTAGCTAAGTCTGAACGACTGCCTCCTTTGCACATAGATACCGATATCTTACATCAAAACTAGAAATAACTCAGAATGCTTTTCGGTCTCACGTGAAAATTTGAAGAAAGGAATTATCGGCAGCTAAAATAAATGGCCCAGAGAATACTACGCTGATTCTAAACTCGCAATGGAGCTGTTAACAAAGGCGGTGGAATGCCACAAGTCAAAAAGTCTACAGAGACAAAGTAGGTTCGAGAGCGACTACCGGTTGCACGTGAGTTGCAGAACAAGTGTCATAGTGATAGCAATTAGTTTGCAATCTGTTTGCGGTTTAAAACGGACGAGTGACTGCTTTGCGATCAGAACGTAAAATGCGATCTCGATGGAAAACAAGAAGCCCACTGAAGTAACAGCGTTGTTCCTGCTGTGAGGTTGCAAAATGGATAAAGATGGATATGACGACTACGCGAGTTGTCGACGCAGTTAAAGAGGCTCTAATCCAACTGTTGATCAGCACGTCGCCAAAGTAGAAAGATTATTTCTGGTGGGCTGGACGAATATAGTACTGCTTGCACACGATAAAAATAGGACGACAATGAGTTGATCACTTAAAATGCGCAGTAGAAGACTAGAACTGCAGCCCAAGAACTTGATGGGATAACTAAACTTGTGGGTTACCGAAACAGATAGGAGGAGCGCGAGAGACCACAAAGAAGATGCGGGGCAACCCAATGATTAGTGACTAGTATTGAAAAAACCATACTGAGTTCGCAAAGCATAGGGTGATGACGGATTTCCGCGAAACCAGAGAAAGGTAGAACATAGTTCAAAACGCACGGTCAATAAGTAAGAAGAGGTAGACGTAAAGCATTTGTAAAGCGGAGATATATTTAATTAATGCCTAAGAGACGGTGAGAACAGCGGGTAATAGCATTAAGCTGAAAAGTATGAATATGAAGGTACATTTTGAATACGCATTAGAATGACAAGGTGAACACGAAGTTATGGACGAAGCTGCGTTGTATGACTATTGGTAAAAGAACGGCGCGGCAGTAGTACTCAAAGAAAGTCAGCGGGAAGCGATAAAATAGATTAAAAAGCAGGTTAGGATAAAAGACGAAGTTAAACAACAGCAAATAAAAGTAACGGCATGCAGATATTGCCTTATGCCATCGTCACGTAACAAAGTCAATCAGCGGACTCAGCGAACAAAAACAAGAAGACGTCAGAATGGTGGCTGGTCATGTCATGATGAGCAGTGAAAATTCGAAGAAAAATGTAGCGAAGTCAAAAAGTTTGAAGTGGAGAAAAGGAAGTGGAATATCGGAGTTAAGGTCCATAGGAGAAAATGACAAGACGCTAGACTTGCGAAGAAATGGGAAAAATATATAAATTGATGCTGTTAAACAAAAATGACAGGAAGGCAAAACAAATTCAGGGGAAAATGAGAGACAAAGAAAAGTGAATGGGCAAAATGAGACTGGGCTAAAAATAAAAGTCAGCTGTAGAAATACCAGCGCACATGCTATCAGACAAATACTAGGCCACCAACAACGGACTCAGATCTCTGCCACAGGTAGACCATACCTCTCGGCTAAAGAAAGGCAGGTGTTTAACTGTGCATCCTCGAGGTCATCCACGCCCATTCCGTTTACAATGCGCCTAGGCGGCAAGGCTGGCACTGCAGCGACTTCAGTGGGAAAAGCTAAGACGGGCTTGGCCATGGTGTTGTGACATAGATTATTGCCTAGGTTTCCGTTATTGCATACTGGAACGCTATATCCGTTTTGAATCGGGCGGGCCATAACCAAACCGATAGCCTCATCGTAGCCCGGGGGCGGATGGTCTTCTCGCAACACAGTTTGGTTGAGATCCATATAGGAATCGTCCCTCGCTTCTGGACGACAATCCGGGACCGCACCATGAATCAAAGTGTCCTGCGGGGATTCTGGCTGACCAGTAGCCGCAAACAGAGCAGCCATTGCAGCATGTTGATTGGCTTCTGTCAATTGATCGTTCTGAGGAAGGGTCGTAGGCGATGGCTGAGTACGTGTAGTTGGAGTAACTGCCGCAACCAGCTGGCCTGGAACGATCTGTTGGGTGGTCTGAACCGTCGACTGAGGCGGCACATTTGACAGTGAGTGTGCCTGTGGGGTAACAGGAGCCGTGGACACGGGAATTTGCAACCTGTGCTGCTGTGCAACCGGCTGAACTGAAGAAAGAGGGTAAGCCGAAAATGAGTGGGGCTGCAGGTTCTGTTGCTGAGGTGGTGGTAATTGAACGGGCTGGACGATAGACCGGGGTTGCTGCTGCTGCTGATGCTGCTGCAATTGTGGTGTTGAGTGAGGATGGGGAACAGAGACCTGGCTCACCGGTGGTTGTGAAAATTGTGTTAGAGGGAGTTGCACTACATTTGGCATGCCCTGTGGTTGTGGTTGATGCTGTTGTACCGGTAGGGGTTGAGATTGCATTGGATGAGACTGCATTTGCTGTTGAGGTGGTGGTGGCAGTAGTGATGGCTGAACTTGTTGATGTTGTTGGACGGCCGTTGGTGTCAATGCACTTGAGCATTGCTGAGCTTGGACAACAGACTGTTGGAATGCGACAGCGTTTGGAGCAAGCGGTTGAGCCTGCTGGGCAGAAACCATGGGTGCAACGCAGGCGTTATAAGGTGCGTTCTGTACGAAGAAGAAGAAGAGATATATAGATTGAGAAGTGGAGGAAATGAATGCAAGTGCATTCTAATGAAAATGCAGAAGATTAAATAAAATTGATTATCGATCAGATCGCATCAGTGTCGATTAACGTAATGCAGAGGCGAAAATTGTGACCCACAAACTCTTCGCTATCCTGCTGTGCATCGTCGGTATCTCGAGCCTCGCATAACGTTATGAATGGTGAAGCGGATCCGATACACCCGGCTGCCAATCATACAGTGACAAACTGGATCAGTCATCACATAGGGCTGAACGCGGCGCATAAACCGTACAACATTTTCAAAGACGGTTGGAATCATTAAAGAAGTTGAACATGTGAGGAACATTGAGAAGTAGCAAAATTAGTTGGAGCGCTTCCCTTTCTCAGTCATGCAAATGAAATCCGAAGCCGCATTACTATCTACAGGAAGAAATCCGGAGAAGTCTGGTGTGCAAAGAGACAGGTGACAGGTAAACATTCACCCTTTATGGGTGCATAAAGCACATTATTGAATTGACTCGACTTGACAAAGCACCCACTGTTCCTTATCGGTGCCGTACGTATTTGAATTTAACCCAATGCATCCAAAGAATGATAAGGAAGTATAATGAAAAGTTGAATCAAGTCTGCGTTTATCGTCAATCTGAAGGAATGTGATCGGTCCCAAGAATGTTGATTTTGCACCCAGCCTTATGCTTTGAACCGATAAGTTCTATGGTAAACAAATAGGTCCTATCAACTACTGTGCATTAATTTCGGTAAGCACACTCAGTTCATATGTCACACTATTTTAACCGCTGCTAGCGTAGTGACGTGAATTGAGGTATATAGGCTGATCCTACTTCAAAAAGGGAACAAAAGAATTGAGTGAAACTGAGAAAACCTTGGTAAGTACACAGATTCGCTGGTTAATGCTCCTTATTTTCAAGGGTTAGCGAGGAATGGAGAGAAGTGCTCTTTAGACGAGCAAAATCGTAAGTCCATGAAAGGGAATATTGGGCTGTACCAAGCAACCGCCTAGTAGCCAAAGAGCATAACGATATGGTCTGAAAAATTCGACTCATGGAAAATGGCCGCTTTCGTTGTGAGGCTCAGCGGCGAAAAGCTTCCTAGGAGGAGTGAAAGCAGAAAGAACAGAAAAGAGCAACTAAGTTGATAAAACCATTGATTTCTGAAAATGGAAGTAACTACGAACGACAAAAAAGGATACATTTGGAGTGGATATTTTTAGCAGAAAGTAAATAAAATACACAGTCACAACTCCCAGTTCATGAAATGTGCAGTCACACCGATTCACCATCAGTCTACCTACGTAAATAAGAGCTAGTATACTGTTTAACACGGAAAACGAAAGCATTTAAGTTCATGGGTTTCGCTAAATAAGATAGAAAAAGACACATGAAAACGGAGCCAAAGACTGCAATACACTGGAACCGAACAATAAAAATAAGAAAAGCAAGGGCTAGCCAGATAAATCGAAAGAGCACATACTAGCCCCTCACTTCATTAGACTGGGCCAATTCTGATGGAAGAAATTTTGTATGCACTCTGAACAGAAGATAAACGAGCGACAACGGGATATAGGAATATGATGGGTGGGGAAGATAATGGCGTCCCTTCCAAAGAAACTACGAATCACAACGCATGCCTAAAAGATGTACTTTTTCTGATGTCATGCACCTGTGCAAGAAGCGTAACGCGCAGCTTTAAAGATAAAGGCCCGTTTTAAAGTGATAAGCCTAATCTAGAGCACTATGTTAAGTGAGTCGAAGTCACGCATAGTGTCGCACAGGAAGAAGGTGCAAAAAGAAACCTAAGTCAATAAACCCTAGGTTTGATGAAAATGACATCGCAAAACAAGACTAGTGTGTGGATTTCGGAACCACCAGTGGTAGGCTGTTCTAAGGATGGGTTGCGTCTTGAAACAGAAAACCAAACTGGCTCAGTCGTATAGGAAAAATTGATACAGGTAAATAATTTCAGTGTCAATTAACAGCGCGAATGAAAGTAAATTAGGGCCGGTAGAGAAGGGTACTTGGGGATAAATGGTGTCACGGAAATATATATATAAATATATATATATATATATATATATATATATATATATATATATATATATATATATATATATATAGCTATCAGACTGCTGGAGATATTGGTATCGTCTCCGCCAATCTATTAGGAAATGTTACAGTGCAGATGAACTAGTGATATTGCACCAGACAAGGAGGTTGCTATGCAAATCCATCCTACCGTACGTTTGATAAGAGTCTTTCGATTTTGCTCAGTCGCCGTAGATCAGCCGCGCAGGTCAGGGTGAGATTGGAGCGCACTAATTTGCCGACCCACCAATGGCATGTAAGTCTACTGTATTTACTCACCCACGCATGTCTGGGGGTGTGAATACGACGTGAGGACGCATAGCGGTGCATGTGTCCTTGAAATATGTTAATTACCCTCGGCGATTTTGACACCGGTCAGTTCAGATTGGGTCGCTGCCGACGTTTTTGGCTGGTGGTTTGCAACATCTCGACAGCAGTGCATAATGCACTGGCTACCGTGTTCAAATGTTGGTGGCGCATCGACAGTTGCTTAATGTTATCCCAGCAAATGATAAAAGGGTTAGTGACAACGCTGTTGTAGACTGAATGTTACCTTCACATAAACCACCTTAGCAAAATAAGAATTCGTAACAATTAGACGGTGAAAATATGAGATGCTACTTCTGCATAAATGAGTCCGGAAAAGCTGTCGTTGACAGACTACTCCCGTCACAGTCTTGATAGCAATTGCAGGAACCAAGTGGGGTGCACGCTGTCTAATTTGTTTAACAGTGACCGTGACGGTGTAACATGAAAGGCTGACAGTGTCGCTCAGTCTCTCAGGAAAACGTAGGTGTATATCAAACGAAATGATGGTTACATGCTGCCGTGTATGCCAATTAAGAGACTACTCGCTGCACGTGTTTGTGGAGAAGGACTGCCGATGAAATCGGTGGCTGTGTTATGCGTCTCTTGTGTTCCGCTATCCTTGTGCTTAGCTCTCTCGCGGTTTGGCCGATGTACACATGTGCGCAGCAGTCCTTGCAACCAATTTTTTAGACGCAATTGGTTGTCCTATCTGCGAGAAGTGGGTCTTTCAAGCGCACTAGTGTAGAGCGGAGCGTTTGGCCTTTCTGGAAAATTAAGCTTATGTTTTCTTTATTTAAGACCCTCTGGATGGCCTCTGAAGTTCCATCTTTATAAGGAATATCTACCGTCCCAATCCACTCGGTAGTACACCGTGGTTGAGGATTTAAAATCCGCTGCAACGGGTATCCGCCTCGGGTATCCACTACCAAGCAATTAGTTCATTGCTTCTTTCCGCGCGGCCTTCCTATCTTCTTCCTCTGTGCACAGAGTCTGGGCTCTGTGAAACAGTGATGAGACGATTCCAGAATACACATGCTTTGGGCGACCTGAACTATAGTAGAATACACCATCTGTCTCCGTCGGCTTACGATATATCTTTGTTTTTGGACTACCCCCATTCCTGTGAACTAAGCAGTCAAGGAATGGCAATGTTCCACTGCCAGATTCCAATTCCATAGTGAAATGTCTGGTCTCCGCAAGAGTGTTCAAACGGTTTAGAAACTCGTCTTTCTTATCCCGTTTTATGCAAACAAAGGTGTCATCCACGTAACGGAGTGACGCTCCGCGTTAGCATGTGAGTTGAAGCTAGAAGATAAACGCCTAGCAAAGCATGTTGGGAAGGGCCAAGAATCGGGGGTTGAAAACTGGGGGGATAAAAGTGAAGTTGGAACGGGACCATAGGGGGGAAAAGCGTAAGAGGGGAAATAAGAAGACGGGAAGGCTTGAGCAGTAGCATCCAAACCTCTATCCACCCTGCTCGATGCAGCAGATGGGGCACCGTTGATTATCCTCTGCGGTGGCCAGAGCGTCAGGTATTTGTTTGAAGAGTGATTCCTTGTTTTGCGTGGGCAGGATACTGTCAGGTTGCCCAGGCCTAGACAGGAGAATGATTAGGGTTCTCAACCAAAGCCTTTGGTTCAAAAACCTGACCGCAAGACAGCGGGTTTGGCGTTGGGCTATAAGGTGTCCGTTTTAAGGAATAAGGTGCCACCCTCATTCCAACCCCCAAGCTGGAGGACCAGGACGCTGAGTTTGTCTGGCCTCTAACCATTGACCAATCTGGTATGAGTGACTCTGAAGGTGCAAAAATGCACCACCCAGTATAGCTCAATGGATCACTGAGGCACACAAACCATCGCACCACGGTAAGGTCCAGACTCATTGCGACATAGTCTCTCCTAGAATGAGGACAAGTTCAGACGAGCCGTGTGTGATAGATCAATCGCACACAGCGGTGAATCATGGTATGGGGTGGCCTCATGAGCTTAGCACGAGTGTAAAACTGCGGTGGGACAAGGACAAACGTGGCCATAAAGCAAAGGGACACTGCAGGGCTGTTAGGGTGGATACACATGGGGATGGACACCAGGAAGGAGGGCAACTAAGGCGTGGGAATTGGAGTGTTCGAGGAAAGACAGTACGTAACAGCAAATACGAGCTAAACCTGGGGAGGGGAATGGGGAAGTTGGGGTAGTAAATTTGGGTCAGGCAAAGACGGTTGTCATCGAACAAGTGTACGTTACACATACCACCCCGCAAATACTGTCCGGATGCAGAATAAGCCACAACACAGATCTGTCTCAGGAGGTGGAATGGCTCAATGTTACAGCGAAAGGGCCGTGTTACGGTAAAGGATGGATCATAACATTTGCTCGAATTCTTCCTGGTATCTGCAGATGTTGTGCCCATGCTGGGCCTTGATTCCATTGAGACTTTGGGTTTCGTCTCCTTTATTCATGACCGTTCTGTTCATTCGTGTGACAATAACACAGATGGTAGACAATTATCTTAGTGTGTTTGCCGATGTCGTGGTGAAATTTCAGGGGGAAGCTCACCTGACGTAAAACGAA